CAGAACGCAGAGATTCAATCCCACTTAATACGACATAAAGTCTCATGTAAAGCAGCATCACGTCAGGCTGCTGCTGCTGCATGTAAATCTGAGCAGAACACATTTTATTGCACCTGTTCATCTCAAACTACAAACTGCGTAGTGTATCCAGTCTCTGATCTGGACTAGATTCTGATGAACGTGAATGTCGATCACACTAAATTTGTTCTGTGAGCAGAATGAACCTTCTCAGTGCAAAATCAGACTTCGGTGTCAGAATCAAGTCCAACTGAAACAGCATACGTTGTTATTTTGTTGGTCAGTATGTGACCAAATATTTTCAGTATATATCATAAGGTTTTCTGTGCCTGTCTTTACTTTTACCTTTTAAAAACCAGTGCTTTTATTGTTTAAAACCCAATGTAACAACATCATAATTGTACAGTCTTTGTATAATTTGGAAAAGGGTAAAAACGCAGACACGTGGATGGTAAATTTAGCAGTGCATCGTGTGTTGTAATGTTGTGTTGTGCTTGTCTTTCAGTGCCTACAGGTGCTGCAGAAACTGACGTACAACACTCGCATCTTCCAGTCAACAAACTACGTCCACGAGCTCATAGCGTTTCTCATGACCAACATGTAAGAACCACATCTCCCATCACCTAACTGCTGCTCACGTCCAGCTTTCGTTTAACTCTTCCATCTTTTGCCACAGCCAGTCGCACAATGATGATGTCATCATGCCGTGCCTCGGCCTCATGGCCAACCTTTGCCGTGACAACCACTCGGTGCAGAGTCACATCAAGTCTCTGGTGAGTCTCTGCTGAGTCATTTGAGGTTTACAGTAGCTCATCTGTCGGTGTGCTGAATCCTTCGAAAGCGTCTCAACGGCGTGACGAAGGCCTTTTCATTAAGACATGAAGACTCCTTCAAATGCAGCAGACGAACGCGTCCTTTTTCTCCACGACTACGAAGGACGCATCAGGTGGATCCTTCGCAGCCCCGCGTATCCCAACAATCATTGTGCACCAGTTCAATCAGCAGCTGGAGTTCTAACTGCTCACAGCTGACTGAAAAGACGGATTTTACAGCAGCTGAGGATTCTGCTTTTAATGTTGCAGCTCACTCCAGTAGCTGACGATACAAACGTCAAAAACCAACAGACTTCAGAAACCTAAAATTTGGTTTAAAAAAATGTAAGTTACCTGGCGTTGTTGACGTGAGCTGCTGCAATTTAAAACGTGTACTTTCCAGTTGCACAGCTTCAGTGTTTGAGTTTTATTTTACCGATAATGTGGCGATTTTATAACATTTTAAGTTCATATTAGTGCGAATATTAACAAGTTTGAACAAGCTGTGAACTCTTCTTGTTTTTCAGAAAGTTCAGTCCAGCACAAGCACTTGAAGTTCAAGTATATGACAAACATTAAAAACAAAAATCACAATTTCAGGATCTATTTCAGTCAAGAAATTTTGGTGAAGCAGCCTCTGAATTGGCACACGGCCTGTGTTACGGTGCATTTTCCTGTTATTTCTGGCTGTTTGATGAACAACAATGTCTATTATGTCTGAGTCAATGAAACCCTAATTAATAAAACTGGTTAATGTTGGACACTTGTTGTATAATTGTCCAGCCAAGTTTGAGAAATTTATATATTTTCTGTATCTGTTCATATAAGTTGGAAGAAAAAACCCGTAAAATTACACATTTAAGTATTTATTTGACTGCACTTTGTCTATTTACATCTGTTGAATTTAATTACAATTAAATTAGAGGTAAAAATGATAAGAATTGAATATATATATATAACTAGTTTTGTTAATTGGGGTTTCATTTACTCAAACATAACAGACATTTTTGTTCATTAAGCAGTCAGAAGTATGTGTCGTCGGCCCCCAAATCCTCATTTTGGGACAGAAAAAAACCTGCATGTGCCATTAAAATGTTATTTTAGTTTGAAAAGCGCCATAAACAAAACCACAGAAGTTGTACTTCTAGAAATAACCGACTTTCTTTTCCACCTGTTTTGTGTCTCAGTGAGTCTCGTTCATCTATGTTGAGGATTAAATCACCAGAGAGGCTGTAATAACCCAATACAGGGCTGCAGAAAATGAATCATGAAATGTCATTTTTTATGACTTCTGCTTGTTTATCTTGAATACTAGTAAGTTTTCTTTCAGTGTTCATGTGACAACGTTAATATATTGA